CCGGGGCGGGCAGCTCCCGCGGGCACCGGCCCTCAGGGAAAGGGCGGGGGGGCTCGCACCTCGCGGCCGCTGCCCAATAACACCCCTTTTCCTAACCTCCCCCCTAAACCAAGCCTTCCGTGACAGCGTGTCTTAAGCGCAGTTAACATTACCATCCAGAAGGTTATTTCCAACACCTGCCTGGCATACACATCCTTGCAAACAACGTGCAAATTGTGGAAAAACTCCTCTGTATGTTCTGACTTAACAAATAGAGCCAGGACAGTCTTCAAAAAGGGCAAGAAGGAGGAGCCAGGAAACTACAGGCCTGTCAGCCTCCCCTCCATCCCTGGAAAGGTGATGGAACAGCTCCTCCTGAAGGTCATCACTAAGCATCTGGAGGACAAGAAGGTGATCAGGAGTAGTCAGCATGGATTCACCAAAGGGAAATCATGCTTGACCAACCTGATAGCCTTCTATGACGGAATGACTGGCTGGGTAGATGAGGGCAGAGCAGTGGATGTTGTCTCCCTGGACTTCAGCAAGGCTTTTGACACTGTCTCCCATCACATCCTCCTAGGTAAGCTCAGGAAGTGTGGGCTAGATGAGTGGACGGTGAGGTGGCTTGAGAACTGGCTGGATGGCCGAGCTCAGAGGGTTGTGGTGAATGGCGCAGAGTCAAGTTGGAGGCCTGTGGCTAGTGGTGTCCCCCAGGGGTCAGTCCTGGGTCCAGTCTTGTTCAAGGCATTCCTCAGTGACCTGGAGGAAGGGACAGAGTGCACCCTCAGCAAGTTTGCTGAGGATACTAAACTGGGGGGAGAGGCTAACACACCAGAAGACTGTGCTGCCATTCAGAGGGACCTGGACAGGCTGGAGAGGTGGGCGGAGAGGAACCTCATGAAGTTCAACAAAGGCAAGTGCAGAGTCCTGCACCTAGGGAGGAATAATCCCATGCACCAGTACAGGCTGGGGACTGACCTGTTGGAAAGTAGCTCTGCCGAGAAGGACCTGGGAGTGCTGGTGGACAACAAGTTAAACATGAGCCAGCAGTGTGCCCTTGTGGCCAAGAAGGCCAATGGGATCCTAGGGTGCATTAGGCAGAGTGTTGCCAGCAGGTCGAGGGAGGTGATCCTGCCCCTCTATTCAGCCCTGGTGAGGCCTCACCTGGAGTACTGTGTCCAGTTCTGGGCTCCCCAGTACAAGAGAGACATGGCACTCCTGGAGAGAGTCCAGCGGAGGGCTACCAAGATGATTAGAGGGCTGGAGCACCTCTCCTAGGAAGAAAGACTGCAAGAGCCAGCCTCTTCTCCGTGGTGCCCAGCGACAGGACAAGAGGCAAAGGGCAGAAACTGAACCACAGGAAGTTCCATCTGAACCTGAGAAAAAACTTCTTCACTGGGAGGGTGACAGAGCATTGGAACAGGTTGCCCAGAGAGGTGGTGGAGTCTCCTTCGCTGGAGATATTCAAAAGCCGTCTGGATGTGATCCTGGGCAATATGCTCTAGGTGACCCTGCTTGAACAGGGAGGTTGGACGAGATGATCTCCAGAGGTCCCTTCCAACCTAAACGATTCTGTGATTCTGTGAGGACTAACTAACTCGTCTCACGTTTCAGTGAATCTACACTTTGGGTGCCAAACCTTTAATAATGTTCTGGTTAATTGCATCAACTTTTGCTCAGAAAGACATAAAGGAAATGTATGACTTGGTTCTCTGTGAATTTGGTTTGCTGCGTCAGAGTCTCTTTAAAGTTTGCTCTTACCGAGGCGGATAGAAATGGTCTACTCCGACTCGTTGGAGGCCTTAGGTCACCCGGCAGGAAGCAGTACAGCAGTCTGACTGAGGGGACAGGACAGCTGCAAGGCTCTCCCCCTCCACCCAGCTCCAAAGAGGTGATTCTTCAGAGTCTTACCAGGTAGTAACTCTCAAAGGGCAACGCTAGTTATACGCTTCAAAAAAGATAAGCTCCAGATTTACTAATTTCTCTTCCAGAGCTGGTGAGATCAGAATGATTATAAAAAGCTGGAGATAATGCTCAGAGGGCAGATGTATTTCTCCTTATGGTAGCTGTATTGCTTGACAAGTCACTCTGGCAAGGAAACCAGGGAAGCCTCATGCTGACTGTTTTCAAGACTTCTCAGGCAGGTCATTGCTGCAAACATTCAGTTTAGCACTGAGTATACTCTAAAAACCAGACAAAGCAGCCTGCCGAGAAGTAGCTGGATCACCTCCCAAAACCGACTGAGATGCTTAACTTCTGTGGAGATACAGAAATCAGTGGGTATAGTTTCAGGGAACTTGGGAACAGAGATAAAGGAATAAAATTAAGTATTCGTGTGTGTGCACGCGCACGCGCACACACACACACACACAAGGCCCATGTAATGGTGAAGGAGACCTGACGTCAAGAGAGTGAAGTCAGTGCTGTCCTTGTTGAGTTAGCACTGGAGTCCAGAGCCTGGATTTTGGAGAAGGCCTTGTGGCATCAGCCCTCTACATGTTATGATCAAAAATATCATCATCCAACTAATCCAGATACTGGAATTAAACCTCATCTACCTACCATCATTTTCTAATTTTAGCACCCAGATATTAAGGAGCTCAGCTTTTAGTTCTGTAATTGCTCTGTTCCATCACTGAATATCCTCCATGGTAAAGCCTATTCTCACAGGAGTGATTGGTATAACTCCTACCACACTAAATGCCTTTAAAGTTTCCTCCCTGAGCTGTACTATTGCTAAAATAAGGCTCTTTAATTCAGACCACCTGCAAAGATTATAAACTCGTACAACATCTGGTGATAAGCTCATGCAGCAGGTAAGCAGAGGCAAATGCAGAAGTCCTCAGAAAACAGCAACAAAGTTTAAGAGAATCACAAAACAAAAATCTATCATTGATTTCTATTATACTTGGTACTAATTTCGCTGACTATATCTTTTTAATAACTTACTTTCCTTGCCATACAAAACAAAGTGGAAAATAACAAGGCTTTTATTACTGTATAGAAAATATCAACTGTTAATATATAGATACTGCAATGTGGCATTGGCTAATGGTTCACCTTAAACTGGAGTGGCTACGAACCACTAAAACAAAGGTTGTTTGCAAAACTGTAAGACAGGTATGAACATTTTAACATCCTCTTGTGCTAACATGAAGATAAAGAACCAAATCATTCCAGTATTGCTGGAAAATCCACTCCTATCAGGAACCACTCTAGGCTTTTTCTTCTCACTGCCTTGACTTGTCTGACACATGACCTTCTTTTTTAGCATCTAGTTATGCATCTGTTCACCACCATCCCTAACTCACCTTCCCTAGCTTCGGCCCAGCGTTTACTACCTGTAAGCTCAGGCAGCCTCTGCTCTCCTCAGATTGGAACTTGCATTCCAGCGGCACGGACATATCCGAACGTTGCTTGACAAGGGGAGAATGAAATACTTCTTTCTTCATAGAAAACAGTTCTTTCTCTCATATCAAATGCTACTACGAGGTCAGAATCACTCTCGACTTTCCAGAATCAATGCCATCCCTAGGTAGCCTCCACAGCTAGCACGTGGTTTGCTAGGAAAACAGAAGTATTTCTCATTCAAAGAGCTTTCCATCCCCCACACCTCTTCAATGGTTTCATAGTTGAGGTTGCCTCTATACTGCAAGGACCTAACAGCCTCTATACTGCAAGGACCTAACAGAGCTAAGGCAGTCAGTCAACTCAGTCTGTTCTCATCTGCTCATAAGACACCATATAGTCATTTAACTTCCAAAATGCTGTACTTAGTATTAGATGTATAGTTGTGACGGAAAGCCTTATTTTTAAGCGTGATCTGGTAGCACTATTAAAAATAGCTAAATAGAAACAGAGTACTCACTTAAAAAGAGTGGGCCCAAACACAATGGCTAGGTTTTCCAGAGTCATGAAATTCACTGCACTGTATGTTGATATCTTTAACAGGAAAGTAGCCAGGAACTGAAGGAGGCTGAGATGAGCTTTGGGCAGGCTGCTGAGTAACTCTCTCAGATTCTTTATACGTTCTGTTGTGTTGACTTCGTGCTCTGTAAAACATAAGTTATTAACATACATAGATATTCCTAACAATAACACGATTACATCATAGACTGGCATTTTTACAGATCTGGGAAAGAGAGAAGGTTTTAAAAAAACACTAGAACAAGGTAAAGAATATATATGTGCTAAATGAAGAATTACTACACTTAGTTTTGACAATTATTTTTGCATATTAACATTTAAGTGCCATGGATTTTCCAGATATTGGGCTTAATATATTATGCTTCTACTTATTCTTCCTGTTACAACAGAAGAATCTAGTGGTTTTTTAAATGGAGTTGCAGGCAATAGTTGTGTACCTGAATCCTTAAAGCCACTTTAAAAACGTTACAAGTTTGTCGGCCTTGACTCTCCCCAGAGATTTGGTACGTGCTGTACGACTCTCGTTAAGAGGGATAAGCATTTGTACCCTTTCAGCCCCACATCAGTCTTCGTTTCCTGACTAATTGGTAGCTGTCATTCTCAAAGCATCTTTGCTCTATAAATATGCAACTACGTTTACACAAGAGATGCTTAAAAATCTAAATTGGGGATACTTAGCATTTCCTTGTTTCTCATTCTTCAAGGAAGAGTTACAAGCCAAAAAATGCATTCACATACAACTCTATTTGATCACCAATTCAGAATTAATATGATAAAGTCTCCTGGATATTGGAACTGAGATGACAGCACTGCTCAATAACCAGCAGCTGATGCTCAAATTTGCAATATATTTCCAGAACGCATCTGGGTGCCTTTCCATTGTGAATGGCAACTCATACCCTAAAGGGCAATTCTATCACTAAAAAAAATACGTTCTATAAAGGCCAAAACCTATGCTGTTCAACCTTTTAATAAACTCTCTGGAAAACGGGATGGAGAAAAAAAAAAAAAGTAACTGAGTAAGACTGTTCAGGGTAGTCAAAGCAAAGTGACCGCGCAAAAAATAACCTGGCACTTAGTAGATGAAGTTTAAACAAAAGCAGTCCACAGTCCAACCCACAACCCTCCCTTATTTGTATGCAAACATCTGAATTAGTTATCACTCAAAATCACTGGGCACAATTGTCTGAAAGCATTAGCTAAGCGATTAGTGGCAGTGTTTTATGTGCTTTTATACAGCTAAGAACTATAGATATGAATATCGCTGTAGTACAGTATATTGCTGTAGGGACCCATTCTGTCTTTGCGTTTTGAATGTTTCATGCCCTTCCACCCACTCCTGCCCAAGGAGATAAGAAAACTAGTAAAAAATATCAGAGATGTACAGAAAGGCTTCTGTACAAGGGAAGATTAAATACATAGAAAAGGTTCAGCTTGGAAGACAGAGAAGTGAGGCAGTGGATACATAAAGGCATGAGCAGACTTAAGACGGTGATTAAATTAAAGAGAGATTAAAAAGAGATTAAAATCTCTTTATTAAAAATAAAAATGGCATTCCTATTTAAAATTTTATCAAAAATTAAAATGGCATTCCCAGACGTAGTAAGACATCAAGTTTAAAAAGAGAACATGCAGAGAAGGCACCTCCTCAAAGAATACAGGACTGGCTCGCAGAATGCCTTGCTACAGGATGTTGTGAAGTTTGAAAGCGTCCATGAATTCAAAAAGGGATTAGTCAAAGTTAATGGAAGATAGGTCCATCAAGAGCAATTAACCATCAGTATCAGGTTAAGGAAACTCTTAAGTCCTTGCTTACTAGGAAGGTGCAAAGAACATATTATCTGTCACTGTCAGAGAAAGGACAGTATCTTGGCAGGTGCCCGTTCCATACCTTGGAAAGTTTTTAGAAAGCCAGCACATAAGTGGTCTGGAAAAACAGCCACTGGGAGTTCCTTCAGAAAGAGTTTCAGTAGACTGGCAACAGAATCAACATCTCCATCGTTAATAAGGTCTACTTTTTCTCCTTGATTGTATTTCTGCTTCAATTCCTTGATTTTATTCACTGAGCCACTGATTCGAAATATACCTACACGCTCCAGACCTGTTTGGCGAGAAATATAAAACAGTAAGCAGTGCATTACCTGTGCAATAAGTACTGTAACCTCAAAAAGCAAAAAAAAAAAAAAAAAAAAAAAAGAGCTCATCTAAGAAAGTATAACAGCTATAAAAATAGACGGTGCAAATGCTGACCTGTTACAGCCGAAAAGCACAGTTTAAACAAGAAGTAACAGTTCTCAGAGACCAGAACAGAGAAAACATGAACTCACCAAATACTTCCAGGTATTCCACCATCTGTGTCACAAGAAAGGGAACGCCACATTGTGCTGCATCCTGTATGAGAGTTTCTAGAGGAACCCCAAATGCACTTCTGTCCTTTTTGAACTGGAGATCTGGTGTGACTTTATTTGTTGTTTGCTTAACTTGAATAGAAGATAATGATTTCTGGGGAATAAAAACAGGTAAGTGATACATAGAAGCTGGATTTTATCATTACACCTTAGCTACTATTTTGTCTTCATTTAGACAGCTTTCTAGTATACATTTTCCCTCTACTGCACATTCCTAAAATACTAATACTACTCGTCTTCTGATAGAACTGAGACAAGACCTGCAATTGGATAGATCCAAATAAAAACCATAGGTGCCCAAGTCTGCTCAAGTCCAAAATGCAGGTGCTAAAAGTCTTCCCCTGTCCAGTGCCAAAGAACAAGAGCTTACTATCATGTGCCCTAGGAGACTGGTATTATGCTTCTACGCTTTCCCAGACCTTCAAAACAGCAAGACTCTTCACTCCTACTTGTGCTCCAGGGAAAATGCACTGCTTTATTAAAACAGCAAGACACGTGAATTATGATACACTTTCTTTACTTCTGTATGCACTCATGGGTCTGAACCACTCTTGGAATGAAACAGTAATCACATTTTCTAAAACGCAGCTATAGAAATCGTATTTACAACAGGTGAACATCACAGGGCTAGACCACTCAGAGGAAAGGGGCGGGGGCAGGGCAGGTCAAATGCCCTGTTTAGGATGGGGAGGGGTGTGGTGCTGAACCTCTCTCTCT